ATCAACGGTCTCCTGGAGCTAGTATGAACGAGGTAGTGGGTAATGGACAGGTAGGCACCTTGTCAACATGCACATCAAGCGCAGCCACACCGGGGATATCAAGCAACAGCCAATCACCTGGAACGACAAGATGAAATAAAACAAATACAATAATGCATACAGTTACAGTGGCATAACTCTAAGCTAAATAAGCATATGAAATAAGTTGGTTAGCAACAATTCAGCGATAAGGAAAAAATGTCCACAAGTTAGTTAAAAATGCTACAAAACGCAACAACGTTACCGAAGATAAGCGCAATTAATGTAAGCAAGGTGGCCAGTTAATAGCATAGTATTCAGGTAGGCAGAACAAAACAAATAAAGTGGAATGAAATTTAGCCAGCCTAAAAAGACCTAGTTTAAGTGTAAGTTGGTTTAGCCCAACTGCGGTGAAGAAGCATCAAGAATACAACATCAGCCTCAGCATGGGGTACACATGGTTGACGGCATCCGGTTTCGGATTTGCCTGTCACTGTGGCAAGCCACAGGACGCCTGCGCCTGCAGAGGGACCATGGATGGCTTGCGCTGCACCACCCACAGCTCCAACCACACACCCCATATCCAGTGTAAACCCGAAGGAATAAGACCGGGAGGCTTGCGGATGGGAACCACGTTTCATCAACGGAGCCGGCCCACACTCCTTCACAGGCAAACACAAGCACACTGTATTTGGGGAATCAAGCGCACACAATGCGGTGGCTGGACCGTAGTCCGCTCCACACTGAGTGCATGGAACCGCTCTTTGATCCTAGCACGGCCACAAGGACCGTGCACCCCGTCCCCTCCAGCAACGATCAACGGTCTCCTGGAGCTAGTATGAACGAGGTAGTGGGTAATGGACAGGTAGGCACCTTGTCAACATGCACATCAAGCGCATCCACACAGGGGATATCAAACAACAGCCAAACACTTGAGAGAGAGAGAGAAAGAAAAAGAGAAAAGCTCGATTTATGCATAAGGAAACGGTGATGTAAACCTTAATTAAATAGCATATGTAATAAGTTGTTTACAAACAAATCCTAGCTAAGTGCACGAGGTCAGGAAATATAGTTCACGGAATGCCACGAACACAAAAATGTTATGGAAATCGAATACAATTGGCTTAGGCGATGTGTGCAAGTTAATGGAATAGAGTACAGTTAGACATTTCTATGAGAAAGAAAAGCATTTAGGCAAAATTGAAAACCCACCACCTGAAATAAAGAGACTTAACATGCAAGCATGCGGTTAGTAAATCGAATTCAGCGTGCCTACAAACGCTGCGCCGGCTCGCCGTAATTCTCTGCAGGACCCGTCGTCGCTTCTGTAGTGGCCCCAAAGGGCCTAGCTCATGGCCCACTAGACATTTATATGAGAAAGAAAGGCATTAAAACAGAACCGAAAACCCACCACCTGAAATAAAGAGACTTAGCATGCAAGCATGCGGTTAGTAAATCGAATTCAGCGTGCCTACAAACGCTGCGCCGGTGCTGCCTACGTTCACTGCGGGACCCGTCGTCGCTTCTGCAGTGTTCCCGGGTGACATCTCTCATGGCTCACTAGGCCTGCCTGACTAAGGCACTCGCGACCGCATGTTCTACAGCACTATGCGCTCGATGTCGATGGAGTACAATTCATTGGTGCTTGCCGCTTCCGCACTTGCCGCATCTTCTCTGCATGCATGAGGGCTTTCTCCCGCACTTCAGTAACTGCCTTCGTGATTAGATCGCGCCATGCACGCCGATCAACCGCCTTCGATTCCCATGACCTGCAATCAAGATTAGAACGTGTGAGGCTCACTTTAATCATGTCCTGGTAACGTAACTTTGGTTTCCCAGCATGCCGCTTCCCTATACTCAGCTGATCGTATAAAAGTTGTTTCGGTATCCGCGTCGAATCCATACGGCTCACATGACCGAGCCATCTCAGGTGTCGCAGTAAAAGTATGCCGTCCACTGCATACATCCCACTTCGGCGCAACACTTCCGTGTCTGCAACTCTGGCGCCCCAGCCGATCCGCAAAATTCGTCGCAGACACTGCTGATGGAACCGCTCGAGATATCGCACATCCCGACGGTACATCGTCCACGTTTCACTGCCGTATAGAAGAACGGACAGCGCCATGAATTTGTACACCATCAGCTTCGTGCCAATGCTAAGCTGATGGTTGTTCCACACTCGGTACTCAAGCTTCCCGAATGCCGCTGCCGCCTTCGACACGCGAATACGCAACTCAACATGTAGCTGCTGATCAGTGGACATCACCCTCCAAGGTAGCAGAAGCGGGAGGTGGTTTCCAATACTTCAGCACCAATGCTGATTCGCGGCAATATTGAAGCTTGCACCTCCGGTGAAGGCTGAAACAGACAGACAGTTTTGCTTGTGTTGATGGTGAGCCCGAATTTGGCCGCTGTCGAATCCAGAGCATTAGTCATGTGCTGCAACTCATCCGCGCTGTGTGAAAACAACGCACAGTCGTCAGCAAACAGCAACATACGGATAGTTGTCTCACAGACTAGAGTTCTCGCATCGAAACGACGGATGTTCAGCAACCCACCATCAATACGGTGCTCCACATGAACACCGTAAGCACAAGCCGCATCAAAAGCACAAGACAACATTGCATGAAGATATATATTAAACAGGACAGTTTGCGCGCCTGATGGTCTTATCGGCAGCAGCTGTCATCTGGTTGCGAATGTGGTGCTGCCACAGGCCGCTTGCTGTGGCTATGCATTCCACATCATACAATCGTGCAGTCATCACATTCTCCAGTACCGAGGGAGAGCATGTTAGATTTACAGCGATTCACGGCGGGAGTGCAATACATAGATTTCCGAAAATATATGTACGGTTTGGTCCGCACCAAATTGCGATCAGTGCCGCACTCAGCTGCACGCACTACACGTGTCATGCGCACCTCACGCATATCAAGGTGACGTACGATGACACAGTCGAGCACGTGAGCCTGACCACTCAATGGGTGCGTCCAAGTTGCTATATCACTCGCACTCAGTGCAAAGCGAGTGTTCGTGATCGTCAGGTCGTGGGTGGCACACAGTGAGAGCAGCCTGTCACCGTTCGCATTCGCTGAACCAATGCCATGCGGACCGATAACATCTGTCCACACCGATGCATCACGCCAAACGCGCGTTGAAATCACCCAGCCGAAATAGTCGCTCGCTCCTCGACACAGACCGTATCACGGAGGATAGCTGAGTGTAGAATTGATCACGCGTGTCACCAGAATAACACATGGTTGGATCGTACGTGGTTATAAAGGTAGCAAACTTACCTCTTCCGAGTCGTAGGCGAACAGTTATCAGTCGCGCGCTGATGCCTGTTGGTTCACCCATCAGCTGGCCATGGATGCGATCGGATACTACAAATCCGACCCATGTTCACGTGGTGTCGAGGCGGCGTTGCCCACCCAGTAGAATGTGTAGCCAGCACCTGCTTCATGCAACTTACCTTGCTTAGCGAGCCGAGTCTCACTGAGCGCCGCAATATCGATGTGGTAACGCGCCAGCTCCATCACGACCAGTGCAGTGCGTCTCTCGTGGTGCTCACTCGAGTTCCGGTCCAGTAGTGTGCGCACGTTCCAGCACCCGATGCTGAGTGCTTTGCGCGCAGGTATACGATAGCATTGGCGGGCAATCCCACACGAGGTGGCGGTGGTGCTTCGGAGGTTTGATTGATTACTCCACTCAGAGCCTTTGACTCAGTAGCCTGAACCACAAGGTAGTGGGTAGTTTAGTGGTTTGTTTGAGGGACTCCGCCCGGAGACTTTGGCTCAATAGCCTGACCCACAAGGCAGTGGGTGATTTGAAGGTTTGCTTGAGGGACTCTTCCCGGAGCATTTGACTCAATAGCCTGAACCTCAAGGCAGTGGGTAGTTTAGTGGTTTGCTTGATGGTCTCTGCCCGGAGGCTTTGGCTCAACAACCTGACTCATAAGGAATTGGCGAGCAGATCCAGCTTGGGTATGTGATTGAAGAGACAGATTGGGATCTGCTTGACGGCCGTCACACGCAACCTTTGAGGTACTGGAACGATTCATATGTGTTTTGCGACCGTAGTAGGATACGCACCTGCGACCACGGTCAGACGTAGGTAGGTTTTGGCGAGTTTGCACCAATTTGATCGGGGGCTGCATGGCTTGAGGCGGGTAGTAGCAAACCATTGAACACCCGGATGTGCCCTCCCACCGTCAGAGACAATGCTTGGCGCTCACGCTCTACGCCAATCGAGCTGTGACCTTATAACCCGTAGATCTGTTGTCTCCCATGACTAGGTTTTACGGGAAGAAGGCCATTGACCACTTCTTAACCTCCGAATAGGATGAACTAGGATACTGGCAGGGCGCCCACACCTGACAGGAGAACGACTCGGGTCCTCAGTCAAAGCCTTCGATCAAATGTACACCCGAAAGGCAGCGGGTCTAGCATATGGTCAGTTCACTGACTCATGCGGATACGTGTCCTGGCAGAAGGGCGTAACCCAACTCGCACCCAGCGGTCACCACGAGGAGGCGTTCAAGCTAGCACTTCCCTCCGACCTTGGTGTACTGCTGTTAATGCATAGGCCCTGCCCTAACGCCTGTGCCCTTTCGGCGCCGGCTGGTGCAGGTCTGCATCACCTTATTCACACTCACAAAATCCTCCCGACAAACCTCCTGCTCTTTTTCTAGGCAAAAGCTGGTGTTATCGCTGAAGAATGAAGGAATATCGGTCAAGTCTACCGGCTGTTTGTGAACAAGTCCTCCTGACTTGTCGTATTCTTCAGAATCGGGATAATCTATCCTCTGTTCACTCCGTCTTGGTTAGCGCTGTGAATCAGTTAATTACTATTTTTCAACTTGTTTGTTCATATGCCACGCTGCCATCCGTGCTTGGATTCTTGCTTCATACTGCTGTTGAATTACCAGTTGTTGGCACCTTTGAAATATTACCACATTTACCTTGCTTTCATCTGTTTGCTAGACAACTCAGAACGGCCCAACTTCGACACACACTGAACATTCGTCCGTAAGTTCTTTGGTGAAGCAGGCACCGGGCATGGGAGTGCGTCTGCGAGCTTCTCCAGATGATCGTCCCCCGGTTCATCAGCGGTTACTGGACCTCGGACGAGTACAACGTTTCCGTGCTTGCATCAACTCTCCGGTGACAGATTTGGGCAAGTTCGACTCCCTCCCAATTTCGTTTCCCACGTTTTCCATCCACATCCAATCAGTGAATGAATGCTGCTCTAGAAAACCGGGCTAGTGGTCAACTGGGTCAGCCGTCTGGCTTTTAATCCACAGCTTTAATCCTACTTAGTTACAAGCGGTCTGGTAGTGTCTTTAGCTCGCCTACGACTGTTATTGGTGATCTGGTAGCGGAGCTTCATTGCGATTCACCGGGACACATGAGCTTTAAATATGAAGGTTTAACCGTGCGCGAAATCACCCCTTTTGCACACTTTCACTCTGTTGTAGTGTGTGTATTTGACTTGTCTTGCATACTGTTGTTTTCGAACAGAAAATGCACAGCACAAACATGATAACAATGGCGTCTGCTCACGGCTCGCACCAATCTCGTCTGATAATTCACCTTGCGTGATCACTTACACTTACCCAGTCACCTCCACTCAAACATATCGAGTTATCTTCCTCGCTTTTCTTGGACAAGTGCGATCATTTTGATACTGGGGTCATGACTGGCTGCCTTCTTGACATGAGTAATCACTGGGGTCACATATAGTTCCATTTTCAAGTCACTACTGTCCGACTTATTTTAGTGCTGGGTATCTTTTATCACGATAACCCCAATCGACATAGTCACAGGCATGTTACCATTTCCCCTTCAGGATTCTGCTCAATTAAGTGGGCTACCTTCAGGCTTATGCTCTTAGCACTGAGATGTGAGTTCGTTTTCTGCTATTTGCATAACTGCCCACAAGCAGATCCAGTGGCTTACCGACTGTATCGTTTCGGTAGGGGCCTAACGGATGATGCTACCCTATCGAAGCTTGGTTTTCCAATAGCACTGTGTTTCAGAATTCAGTCCATCAGGGACAAGCGTTTTTCTGCAAAGTCAACTTAGCGAAATTTATGGCAGTTTAGAAAGCTAAGCTCCTCCATATACGTTGCATGCTCACACCATACATAACGACCCTTATGACTCGATGAGGTTCCTCCTTTGACTCAGTTAAACAAACGGCGAATAACTCGCATTGATGTCGGCCAATCCGTGTCCAGTAATCGAATCCGTTACGCCCGTCTTCCATTGGCTATTTGCCATGCTCACTTGGTCCATTCGTTCGCTCTGGTATGACACTCCCATCACATCCTTCTTTTTTCGTATCCTTGCGCCTCCATATTGCTATGGACCCCGTCCGCCTCACCATTCTACATCGGCTTCCCTGTATCTGCGGCCGTGGTCTCCTTGCCCCACGTCGTAGGGCGCTCCACTCCCAATCTCCATTGTTGTCTCTGGTGTCCTTCTGAACCTTTCCCATTCAACATTTATTTCGTATGACCCGGCACCGAGCCTCGCAGTCACCACATTTTTCTTCCACCGCTCTTGACTATCGGGTAATGGTTGAACCCACAGTATCTCCCCCGCTGTTAGCTCAGGTAGTACCCGTGCACCCCACTCGTAGTACCCGTTTCTGCGTGATCATTCGTCATCTCAGATTGTTCTGTATTCCTTCATGTTGTAGCGAAACTGTGCGCAAACGTGTGGCAGATGCCGGCATCGGAGTTCTAGTCCTTCAGCTGTTTAGACGCTGCACTGGGCTCCAACCAATATTCCTTGAAGGAGTGTTTCGATTCTCCAGTAGCATGAGGTACGGGCCCTAGTCAGTAGCTCTAGCCTTTGATAACAGTCGTTTGACCTGCTTCACTGCTGACTCCGCATTTCCATTCGATTGACTGATATGGGCTGGTTTGCTGGTGCACGAATTTTCGCTTGATTGCGAAGGTCTGGAACGCATCGCTGGTGAACTGGGGACCATTGTCGGAGACCATTTTTTCTGGTATACCGTGCTGTGCGAATTGTAATCTGAGCCTGCTGATTATTGCTTCTGTGGTCGTAGTGGTGATTAAATCGATTTCAAAATAATTACTATAGTAATCCACCGTGCGTAAGTAATCTTTCCCGTTGTAATACAATCAATCTCCCACTGACCTGTGCCACGGTCAATCAGGGACATCATGTAGCATCATTTGTTTCTTCGTCTGCCGGATTTCATGTGAACGACACGCCTTACAATTCGACACTTGATTCCCGATTTGACCCGTCATTCTTGGCCAAATGATCAATTCTGTTACTCGGTTAATGGTATAGTTGGCACCCAGGTGAGTGCGAAAAACGTATTTCAACATTTCTCCTCGGATCAAAGACGGGATCAGAATGCGGCTTCCCTTTAACAGCAAACCATCATGGCCAGAAAGTTTCTCCCGAAAATTGAGTTATGGTATTAGTTCCTCCGGCAGCTGATTCTTCGTCTCTGGCCACCCATTTTGAAAACGTTTCATCTTCCTCTATGTAGCGTCTTATCTCTTTTTGACAACCTTCCGTGATTGCTAGATGCTGTACTAGGTTTGCTGCCTCGACCTCTTCCGAATTATGCCCGGCTACCGGCATGTCAGCTCTTGCCAGCAGATCCGCGATAAATATATTTGCACCAGACGTGTATACAGTATCCACGCTGTATTTTTAAAGCCGGATAAGCAAGCGCTGAAGGCGACGAGGAACGACGTACAGCGGTCTACTGGCTATCGACACAAGCGGTTTATCATCGGTACTCAAATTTGCCTTTCTTCCGAAAGTCTGATCGTTGTCACGTTCCATAGCCACACAGCTTCAGGCTGCCTTGGGCCCAAATTCTCCGGGTTGTTAGTGAAGGACCGGCTCCAAAGGCCTCTGTGATCAAGCGTCCCTACCCGTGTAAAGGTTACTCCGACATATGTTTGGCATTTTCAACCGCATTACCGAATATTCGTACTGATAAGGAAAAGCGGTTGGGCAGTTTTTTCAACGCATTCCGGTCGCCGCATGTTGCTACCTCAATTTGCTGTTCAAATTGATTGAATTCGCTGTAGAGAGCCACGCTTCGCGAAATCCTTTCTTTTGTACTTCCTCCATTCATTAGAATCTCCGTTTTAGTTCATTTGGAGTTATGTTCTACCTGATTGCCGTCGTTGTGACCGACGACGATGCGTAATGGCTTCGCGCAGTTTTAAAACGGTCACCTTATCTGCTGCACACATCAGTGCAGGTAAACGAAAACATGCCAGTATTGATGCCCTCCTTCTTTCCTCAGTGTTTCTCTTACTCCGCTTTCGACCTCCATTACTAGCCTTCCTACATCAGCCGCGACGCCACTGGATTTTTGCCATCTGCAGCTATCTTCAGCACCGCTCACTGAATGCTAATGTTAAGACCACGCCGTCCCGTTTCCTTGGCTGTGTTCAACGCTCGCACTAAGAAGTTAACAGGCTGCATTCGCATGCACTTTGGACACCCTGGGTATTGACTTATGTTTCGTGTCCAGAACTGGTATCAATGATCCTCACGGGGCTGTTGAACTAACTGCATCCGGCTTGCCCTCTTACTATTGGTTGCACGCGCCCAGAGACGCTGATGTGCCATTCACTGGTCAAACTGGGGTGGGCATCTTTCTCAGCTCCAAAGCTGAGTCAACATTGGTTGATTGGATTTCCGTGAGCAGCTGTTTGTATGCAGCCCGTTTGATGACAGCGACTAAGGTTGGTTCGCGAAGCCGTGCTAGACGCTGTTTGTTTAGGGTTCTCGCTTGTGCTCTCATCGACTGCAGTTCTGGTGCTGCCAAGTACACCTTCTACCAGAAACTGGACAAGCTCATTCACACTTTTACCAGCTCAGATGTAATTGTTGCAGGGGATATGAATCCTCATGTATGCGGTAAGTATTGCTTTAACATTGGGCCTGTTTTATATCTGTGTGCGGAGCACTGGCAGTTTTTTAGTAGCACCGCTTTTGAACACTGTGGACACAGAACTGTCACTTAGCGTCCTCCTGTAGCTGTCCGGCGATGGACTCAAATTACTCATTTAGTCGTGACTTGCTGGTGGCGTGGCTTCTGACGCTAAAATTGCTACTCAGACCGATATTTGAATATTGAAGTATTTCTTTAGATTACCCAAACTGACATCTACTCCATCTGCTAGATTTTAGCTTACCATCTGCCTGTCATATCCTCATTTATCTTCCTATTCACCGTCCCCATGATTTTATCGCAGTTACAGCTGTCATATCTGTTTGCTTCCCGTTGTTATTGAATGTGTAGAGACAGTTGGTCGTTGCTGGAGGGGACGGGGTACACGGTCCTTGTGGCCGTGCTAGGCTCAAAGAGCGGTCCCATGCACTCAGTGTGGAGCGGACTACGGTCCAGCCACCGCCTTGTGTGCGTTTGATTCCCCAAATACAGCGTGCTTGTGTTTGCCTGTGAAGGAGTGTGGGCCGGCTCCGTTGATGAAACGTGGTTCCCGTCCGCATGCCTCCCGGTCTTATTCCTTCGGGTTTACACTGGATATGGGTATGTGGTTGGAGCTGTGGGTGGTTCAGCGCAAGCCATCCATGGTCCCTCTGTAGGCGCAGGCGTCCTGTGGCTTGCCACAGTGACAGGCAAATCCGAAACCGGATGCCGCCAACCATATATATATATATATATATATATATATATATATATATATATATATAATATATATATATTATATATATATATATATATATATATATATATATATATATATATATATATATATATATATATATATATATATATATATATATGTATTATACACAATCTGTGGTACAGATATTGTGCCAACGGAATCATGGCTGAATAGGAAAACAATATGAATAATAAGAAAAGAGCAACAAGAAATGCTTTTTTTGTCAAGTTTAAGACTCAGTTTTTGAATTTTTTTCAGTTTGTTCTTTTTTAGGGGGAGGAAGAAGGGACACCGCAACACACTGATGCACATGTCCGCCATTGACATCGATCTTGAGCCATAACTTCCAAGGTCTTCAACCAGCAAGTATCCTCATCTCTCGGACCCCAACCTGGTAGTCGACGACAACCGGCCGAGGCCAATTGTTTCGTCAACTTTTTCATGCGGCTTCTCCATGTTGTAGGCTGTCCACCAG